TTGTGGGGATGTTTGAATAACGCATGACATTTGAAAATCCCTGGTTGGTTGATTCATTTCAATTTTTCCTGTTCTCTTTTGTATTCGCTTATATATATATTTTAAGAAAGGGACTCAACTTACAACCATTCATTTAGTGACCGAACTTATAATAGCACTGAAAATAGAAACTTATGACCGTTTTTCACACTTACGGCTGGGGCAGCAAAGTCAATGCGGAAGCCAGATTCACTTAACGGCCGTGCTACTTACTTAACAACTGCAGTGATTCAGTTAACCACTGTGGCAAGAAAGGTCGTAAAAGGAGGCCAAAATCACGTAATAATTGTCTCACTTAGCAGTGGAGGTTTTGGGCTCCATTATGGCCCTAACTCAAGGACTACCTGCACCCGTCCAATTCCTGAGTGTGTGGTTCTGTTATGCCTGCCTTCTGTTAAAAATGGTGTTAGGTCTCCTGCTTGGGCAGGGGGGGGGGTTGGACTAGATGACCCCCAAGGTCCAACTCTGTTAATCTGTTATCTGTCAGAAATGGTGTAGAGTCTCCTGCTTGGGTGGTGGGTTGGACTAGATGACCCCCAAGGTCCCTTCCAACTCTTTTAATCTGTAATTCACTGATCACAATCCACCATCTACCTTTAAATCGTATCTAGTTAGGCTGTTTTTTTCATCCCCTAATTAAAAAAATATCCACCAAATACTATTTCCTTGAAGGATGACCAGGTAGCCTTAGGATAAATCAGACTTAAGTTTCTTGACTCTTCCAAAGGGACCTCCTCAGGTCATCCAGTCTAACCCCCTTGCAGTTTCCCGGAAAATTCTTTCCTTCCGGGAGTCATAAAACAAGGGCTACCTGAAAATCTGTGTTCCATCCCTCCATAATCTTCCTCTCTTCCTCTTTTGCAGGTCTCAAGAGCCATGCCCACTTCCGCCTTCTGACGGCTCCCCTCCCTCCCTGCCCCCGGCCAGGCGCCCACCCTCGCCCACCCTCGCCATGGTGCACACGGAAGGCAGCGCCCTGCTGAAGGCCGTCTGGCAAGGGAAATTCCGTCTGACCCGCCTCTTGCTGGAAGGCGGGGCTTACATCAATGAGGGCAACACCCAGGGGGAGACTCCGCTCATTGCTGCCTGCGTGGCCCCCTACGACGACCCCCAGAACAAGCCCCGCATGGTGAGGTACCTGCTGGAGAACGGAGCCGACCCCAACATTCCTGACAAGACGGGCAAGTCCGCCTTGATGCACGCCTGCGCGGAGGGCGCTGGGGCCGAGGTAGCCACCGTCCTGCTCAACCACGGGGCCGACCCCAGCGCGAAGGATTATTCGGGCGCCTCGGCGTTGGTCTACGCCATCAACAAAGGGGATCGGGCGACCTTGCAGGTGCTCCTGGACGCCTGCAAAGCCAAGGGCAAGGAGGTCATCATCATCACCACCGACACCTCCCCTTCGGGGACCAAGAAGACCAAGCAGTACCTCAACTCCCCGCCTTCTCCTGGCGTGCAGGACAAGCAGCCGCCGCCCGCCCTGTGCATGTCTCCTTCGGACATCGAAGTCCTCACCTCTCAGTCTCCCGGGAGCAGCGAGAAGGAAGAGGAGCGGGACGTGTTCAACTTCAGCCTGGCCACCAGGCTCAGCTGCTCGCCCCACGCCAAGGGGAAGGAGATGGAGGAGAAGGGGCCCTCGGGGCTGCACCCCAAAAGCCAGCCTAAGCAGCTGAAGAGACTGAACTCCGAGCCGTGGGGCTTGGTGGCTCCCTCGGTCTTGGCCGCCTCCTATCAGGAGAAAGCCCGTAGTCCGGAAGATCGGGTGAGGATTGATATGAACGGGTTGAGTATCACCAAAAGGCCTCCCCTGTCTCGGAGACACAGCGTGGAAGGCCAGGAGTCCTCCTGCTTCAAGATGGGGACTCAACAAGGAGAGGAGATCTCGGGCGGAGATTCCTCCTGGGCGGAGAAGGTCCACCAGACCCTCGCTCGGCACAACACGGCTCCGGAAGCTCAAGAAGGTCTCCAGCCTCCTAGTTCCAGAAGTGTGGCCCATCACAGGTTGACCTGCTCGGAACATTTGGAGTTCGATTCCCTCTGTCCCGAATCCATCCCGGGTTCTCCAGAGTCTGGCCGGGTTTCGCTGGAGAGGAGGAGGTACAACGCCTCCCCGTTGACCTTGCCCAACAGCTCCTCCCGGGAGAGTCTAGAGAGTATCCCCAACACCATCTCCCCGATCACCATCCGGCGTAGGGCCCCAGGTCTCCTGGAACGCCGGGGCTCCGGGACGCTGCTCCTCGATCACATCGCCCACACCCGCCCGGGCTTCCTGCCCCCTCTGCACTTCAACCCTCACCCTCCCCTCCGCGACATTTGGCCCAATGGGAAGCCCCCTTCCCCGGCCCACAAGGGTCTGATCCCCGTGGCTCCCTCCTCCCCGAAGACCAAGCGGCTCCTGCGCAGACACTCCATGCAAACAGAGCAGATGAAACAGCTGGTCAGTTTCCAGAGCCTGATTGCACAAGGGGATTCGGTGGCCACCTAAAACGGGCAGTCCCTGGACACCGGAACCAACCCTAATCTTCATCTTTGGCCTGATCAAAGTTTAGAGGGCCCATCCTGTCTTCATAGTTGGGTTTCCATTGTCTTCCTCCCTTCTCTTGTTCGGTGTCCTACATTGTAGTGGCCACATTTAGAGTCCTAACCTAATTTGACTTTCTAAACCTAGAGTTGGAACCAGAAAAAACCACCACGAAGGGACAGGATTTTGAAAGGACCGGACAATTCACCCGTTGCTGTCCCAAGTGGCTACAACTCTGAGGAAACTGGCCTCTCTTGAGTCAGAGTTTGAGACAGGAAGATCTCCGACGAAACGTTGGCGGTGAAAATAGGAGAACGTTGGTATCTGGAGCCTTTCCGTGGTTTGGATGCTGAGTTGGCCACGGGGAATGCCGAAAATACCCAACGCTGGAGGTTTTTCCTCGAGCGGAGGTCCAAGGAGAGGATAACTGGGTGGACTTTTGAGATGAGTGGCACAATGACTTCTTCAGGCACCCATTGGAAATTGATCAGTTGCCGAGAACCAGGAAGATGTTCCCCCGGGAAACTGGCCTTCTCTCCTTCTCGTCCTCCAGGTCACATCTGGGGCCTTCTGCCTTTTCAGATCCATAGGCCCGTGTCCCTCAACCTCAAGGAGACGAAGCTGGTGGCAGGCCAGAAAGACCAGGCTTACCCACAAAGCTGCAATTAAGCTGCTTTATTGCTAAAAGCCAATGCACAGGAATCTTCTCGACTAAGAATCAGCACGTGGATAGAGTTAGATATGGGCCAAGAGAGGTTGGGCTTAGTTCACTTGTGACTACGCAGGGATGCTATGCCGAGGCCTCTTTTCATTCTCCCCTGGGTTCTGCCACTCCTTCACTCACAGGTGGACTTCAACTCCCAGAATTTCCCAGCCAGCATGGCTGGCTGGGGAATTCTGGGAGTTGAAGTCCACACAGCTGAACGTTGCTGAGTTTGAGGAAGACTGCAATAGTTTTACTGGCCTTTTCACTGGTTGTTTGGGATTTGTCCTCACTTGAACCAAATATTCTTGCCCTATTTTTTTCTCTTTCTCTACTGGATTTTGCTAGGATTCCATTTCTTCTGAAGGCTTTATCGGACGAGAGTCACCACTCAGGGTTGGGGGGTTCAAATTGGAGAGATGAAATGGGGGGGGAGATCTACCCATCCTCCAAATTTGTTGGACCGAGAGGTTAAAAACCAAAACTCTCTTTAATTCTTTCTCTCTTTTTTTGCATCACCTCCAGTAGGAAAGTTTTGAGTGGCGATCTTAAAATGTTCTGGAGGAGAATTTGAGACTTTGGGGGTTATTTCTGACCCAGCATGGATTATATTTGGTCTTCCGGATGCTTTTGAACTTCATGTTGAGTCGTTCATTGTCACGGGGGGCAGCAAATACCTCCCGTGGACCGCACTATTTCAATGACGAAGTCAAAATATTTTCCCAAAATGCTGTTGACAAGAAGGATACTCATTTTTTTTCTGGGTTAAAACCAGATGCAGCATTCTTCTTTTCTATTTAAATCGATGGGAAGTAGGTCGATCCCTGAATTCGTTCCCAGAACTGAGAACAGGTGGGATGAGCGGCCAATTTAAAATGGTTCTTCGGATCTTATATTTTTTATTTGTTTTAATTTTTTTCTCTACCCAGAGACTCAGGGATGGCGCCCTGATTTTGATGCTTCCTGCATAGTGGTCCCATCAAAATGGACCTTGGAGTTTCCAACTTCTATCTTCAACCTTCCCATTAACTGAAGATCTTCCGCAGCTTCCCAAAAGTATATTTGAATCTCATTCCTTATTCCATCCAAGAGAATTCATTTCGTCAGAGTAGTATCTTTTGAACGTGGCCCCTTTAAGACAGGTGGACTTCTACTCCCAGAATTCCACAGCCAGCCAGGAAGGAAGCTGGGTGGAAATCTGCTGGCTGTGGAAATCTGGGAGATGAAGTCCACCTGTCTTAAAGGGGCCACATTTGAAAAAACCACTGAGCATGTTGTGTATTTCTAAAATTTAGAACTGGCCAAAGGGAGGGTCCTTCTCCGCATCCATGCCTTGGTTGTTTTTGGTGCCCCCTGGCAATGTGGTGAGCTTGGACCTGGCCTGTTCCTTCCGAACAACAGACCACCTCTGGAAGACCCCTCCCCATCTTCTATTCCATCTCAGCCCACTTTGGTGGTGCAGAAACGGATGGATTGATGAGGGAAGGTGCTTGTCACTGAAGAAATCTACCCTACCAAAATTTGACAAAAATGAGCCCTTCACGGCACTCAGATTTGGGAATGGATGGAGCCGTTTTGGGGACCATTCCTTGCCCGAGTTGCCAATTTTAAACAACAAAATCTGGTGCAATTAGCTCCCCCCCCCAATCCAGTTGCCTTCTTAGATCCCCTGCCCCATAAATTATCACTTGGCCCCCTCTTGATCTGCCTTTTGCAGAATAGAATGCAGAAAAACAGGGTTGGAAGGGGCCTTGGAGGTCTTCTAGTCCACCCCCTGCTCTTGCAATCATCGTCCTCTCTTATTCCTGCACAAATGTTGCACTTTGCAGTTTCTGCTTCCCCAGCACAGTATTTGGGACCAGGTGCTCCTCAACTTACGACCACAATGGGGACTGTCAGCGCTAAGCGACTTCCACCTAATTTGACAACCTTTTTGCCACCGTCGTTAAACAAATCGTGCAGCTCTTAAACGAAGCTGTCTCCTTGCCCCAGACAGGTAGTCTTCGATTTATGACAACAATGAGGATTAAAACGTGGGTGTGGTCATTAAGTGAGTCACGCCCACATTTATGACCCATTTTGCCACCGTTGTTAAGCAAGTCCAGCTTTCCCCATGGCTTCTGCTTCTCAGCAGCCCCCTGGGAAGGCGGCAAATGGTGCTCACAAAACCCTGGGAATTGCAACAGTCGCAAATATATCCTGGTTGTCAAATGCCCAAATTCTGATCATGTAATCACAGGGATTTTGTGATGGTCATAAATGCAAGGATCGGTCACATGACACTCTTCCCAGGACCGTTGTAACTTCAAACAGTTGTTAAACGAATCTTCGTAAATAAAGGACTACCTGTATTCCATTTTTTGCCCATACAGGTAGTCCTTTCATACGACCACAATTCAGCACACCAGTTCTGTTGTTAAGTGAGGCGTTTGTTAAGCGATTTTGGCTCCGACTTTTCTTGCCACAGTTGTTAAGTGAATCGCTGCAGTTGGCAAGTTAGCAACCCCGTTGTTAAGTGAATCTGGCTTTCCCGTGGACTTTGCTCATTGGAAGGTCGCAAAAGGAGATCATGTGACACCCCCTCCCCGTCATAAAGATGAACCAGTGGCCAAACATCTGAATTTCGATCACGTGACCATGGGACCAGGCTGCGAAGGTTGCAACCCTGAAAAACGGTCATAAGTCAAATTTTTCCCATGCCGTTGTAACTTTAACTGTTGTATGTCGAGAACTACCTGAATACCCTTCTCAGAAATGGCTGGCAATGTTTAAGGCAGGGTCCCGCTTTCCCATGCCACATCTGGATGGATAAAAGGAAGCAGCAAATCTTACTTCCTTAAACCTCACCTTTTCAATTCTGTGGGGATCACGGAGCCGGCGCTGCCTGGTTGCGGATGATAAAAATCTAGACTAAACAAAATCTAGAATTACATTTAACACCGCCAACTGCGAGGTTGGCGAGCCTTCAGGATCTAGAAAAAAGCCCTGGCAAAGGAGTGTAGGGTGTGTATCAGTGGTGGGTTACGACTGGTATGCTCCGGGACGGGCGGGAGCACTGCTGGGAGCACCAGGCACCTGTTCCAGTACGGTGCTCCGGAGGGCCCACCACCCCTGCCCCCTCTCCTTAACTGTATTTGACCTAATACCTACAGCGGTGGGTATGCGTGTGTGCTTGCCACGCCCGGCCCCATTGCAGCGTACCAGTTGCAACGGGATCTGGAACCCACCCCTGGTGTGTATTTACGCAATCCCCCCTCTCTGTTCCCTTGTATGATTCGCACTCGCCGCCAGTGTGTGGCTGAAGACTTGCGCATTTGGGGCCGCAGAAGTGTGACGGGTGCCGAGGACGTTTTCTCCTACTCCGAGCCACTCCAGATGTTTCTTCCAGCTGTGCTGTCTTGACTCGGCATCGCCTGTCCAATCGACAATCCTCGAGGGCCTCAAGAGATGCTTCCTGAAACAGCGGCCCTCTGGTTCTCCTTCTGCACTTTTCTTTCTCCTCTTCCGGGTGTGGTTTAAGCACAATGTTGCCCCTCGTGGCTAAAACGCACAATATGTCGGGGGGGGGGATGCGTGACCTCTTCTGTGCCAAGTCCGATACGGACCAATAGAAGTAGATAGATCTTGAAATAATATATACAAATGTTGAACAAAAGAACGGCGGTGTTTCTGTCCTTGTGGGCGAGCGTGTGGTTGCGAGGGATGGAGAAAGGGAGGGGTGACAATGGAGGGGGGGCGTTTACTGAATCACTTAAAAAGACACATCAGCACAATGTGTGTCAGCCTTAACGGCTGGACCAGACAGGAGAAACAAGCAGACAAGCTAATTTTATCTTATTGTAAAGCTAGATTTAACACAAAGGTGTCAAACTCAAGGCCTCCGGGCCGGATTCGGCCCATGGGGTGCTTCAATCTGGTCCATGGGGGAGGCCTGGAAATATAATAGGACCGGCCTGTGGTGCCTCATGCCCTATCCCCACACCCCCAGCCTGTTTTTGGCCTCCACAGCCTCCTGCAACACTCTGCTGGCCAAAAACGGGTTGCACAGGGGCCGTGGTGTGGCCCATTATTGGCCGGCAGAGTGCTGCAGGAGGCCAAAAATGAGGTACAGGGGGAGGGTATGTGTCCTCCGTGCCCCGTTTTGGCCAACAGGGTGCTGCAGGAGCCAAGGTGGCGCAGTGGTTAAATGCAGCACTGCAGGCTACTGCTAGATCAGCAGTTCAGCGGTTCAAATCTCAC